TTTGATGTGGCTTTCTGGTTTTCCACTGCTATAGTTATATCTGGATCTGGGCAAAACAAAGGCAGAGTTGAAAACCTTTTCCTCAATGGCCTTTTCACACAGAGCAAGATGTACTTGTCAATCTGTCAGTTGATATTCAGCTCATGGTACTTGAGCCCCGCAGCGGCCAGGTTGTGCCACCGTATTTAACGTTTGTTCCTATAATCTGTTCCATTTTCCCAGTTTGTGGGCTTAATTTTAAGGCACTTGTCCGGTTTCTTTCCAGCTACAATCTCAGTGGGGAAATGAACTGTTTTGCATTTTCTTTTCATACTGCTGGTAAACATATTAAACTCAGTCAGCTGCTCTCTTTCTCCTGCTGGCTCAGAAAATTGTCTTCCTGCCCAGTTTTGGCTTCCTTTTGGACATTTCACCTCAAAGTAAATTCTTTCCTTTTTATTTATTAATATATATTACTACTAGACAGAAAAATCCCCCCCCCCCCAATTTATTTAGGAATAAACCCCATTTGACTGAAAATGCTGGCAGGGATTTGCAAGTGTTTCATCTGGAAGCTACTCATGGCTCTAAACTTCATTTGATGGAAATCCATATTTGGTAATAGGGTGTCCATTTTCATGGCTGCCATTGGTGAAATGACTTCTGGGTTATGTCCTGTGAGACGGTTGATACCTGCTAGCAGAATATAGTAAAGGCTGAGGAAATTTCAGACCTTCGTTGTCTCACACCCCAAAGTAATTTCACCAAGTTCCGTAGTCTTTGAATTTCAACTGCGAAGAATTCGAATTGGAAGCTGTTGACGTCGCAGGTCCGGACAGATGAATCTGTTTTTGAAAGCAGGTGGATGTTATGTGAGCTCAGGTACATAGCCATGAGGACAAGGGGCTGCTTTCATCTTGTTATTGTTCATTTTTTGAATCCGTAATCTTTAAACGAAAGCCCTTGTAGCTGTTTATTTAGGGGCTAATTTATATTTTGCAAGTGAACAGAACATATAGGCTGCCTTGCCTCGCTCGCACCCTAATTTGTCCGACTTGATTGTAAAACTGCACATTTCCTCCACAAACAAACTGAAGATGGAGGAAGACCAAGTGAGCTATTGCAATCTCATTCCCATTCCCTTTTTTCTCCAGGGCCAGAGGAGGCTAAAGGCTACTGATTATCTTCCTGAGCAACTGTACTCGCTCTCTTCTCCAGTTCAGAAAACTCAAAATTCCTAAAGGAAGAGATGGTCTGTTTCTGATATGGATGGGTAGACTTAAGACCACTGAAAATCTGCATTTCTAGGTCTTGAGCTGTTAAAAAAAGGCAATTCCCTTTTATCATAAGAATGTTTGGTTCCAGTCAATCGCTAGAAGAGTAGCTTTATTCCTATTTTTTATGCAGAGAGAACATGGCCCTAATTTTCCCTTAGAGTTTGAATATATTGAGTGTGGTAAAACATTCAAGTATTTTCTTCTTTTAAAGGAAAATGCAGCAAAGTCAGCATTTGAATCTGTATTTGTTGCTTCTGCCTTTTCAACATTTTCAGGTATAAGTTGGCAGGCTTCTTTGCATGTCAAGAGGTCTTTTTTTAATGGAACTTTTGTTTTGTACAAACTTTGCACAAAAAAGACCCTTGGAGCCCCATGCTCTGTACACTTCACATCCTGCTCTGAGATGCCCTTAAAACCATGCGCATGTGTGAGGGCTTGGCCTTTCATACTTCTATACTCTGAAAGAAAAAAAAGGTGATCTATCAAGATCCTTGCAGCGTTACCCTCCACAAAGCACATCAGGACAGAAGCTGCTCTCCTCTTCCACAGATTGTGCTTTTACAACTCTCTGGTTGGGCAGGGATCTATCCCTTTTAAGATCTATCAAAGTATTAAGACTGCTGTGAATGGCACAGTTTGATTTAGAGGGTTGAGGATCAACTGGCTTAGGTTGTTTGGCATCTTGATTTAGGGACCGTGGTCCTTGAAGCTCTTCTGCCTAAGCTGGAGATCTTGTTCTTGCAGACTATAAGGTACAAGTGAATGGCAGTCTAAGTTTTGCCTGCCCGATGCCAAAATATGCTGAAGGTTCCTACCGCTGCCTCTTGTGAGAAGGGTTCATTTGTTCTGGGTTCATTTGTGCTGATGCATGCTTTAGTTATGTGCTTGGGGCACTGGTCCTTGTGTAGTAGCATTATTGGGCATAGTGGTATCCAGCTGCCCCTTTGTGGAATTGTTTTTATTTTTTGACCTACGTTTTGCTTGCACAAATATAATGCCTTCTCCCTTAGCCAGTAGGGGGAATAAATGGTTGCTTTCTCTTTCCTGAGATCCCATCAGACATAGACTATTGAGAAATAATCCTATTTCACCGCAGCAATTTAGACATTCAGAAGAGGAAACCCATGAATCAGGTATCCTCCTTTAAATGTCTTGAAGAGGGAGAAAAGCCTGGAGAAAGATCTGCAGTTGCCTGGTAAAGGTAAAAAAACTCTGCCTGGGATTAATTGGGTATTCCGTTGAATGTAGGCCAAAGCGTGTTCCATATAAGTTGGAAAGATCAGGTGTTGGGATTTGCCAGAAGGAAAGGCTAAAGTAAATGGATATTGTTGGGCCTCCCTTGCCGCAAAGCCAAAGGTAAGCGTTGGGATTGTTGCTCTGCAGAACTGTGTTTATCCTAAAGACTTTCAGGTTGCTAGAACAGACTGTAGCTTGCTTTTGAAAAGCCCCAAAGACAAACACAGCAGTAAAAATCTCTACTGGAGAATCTGGGGTGGGCCTCGAAATGCCGTCTTCCTTCAGCTTAGCTGGTGGCACACAATGCCTGCTAGGCCCTAATGCTGCTTCCTTCAAAGCAGAGCCCAGGAAGGTAGGGAAAGGGGAAGCATTGGCTGCCAACCACCTTCCATTGCCTTTCGGCTGTCCCTCCCCTCCCCTCCCCGCTCCCAGGCTCCCAAAGCTGTGCTTGATGGGGATCTGAGAGTGGTGCTTAGCTTCCAAATCGTTATTTGATCGAGGGCTGTGTGTGTGTGTGTGTGTGTGTGTTGGTTTCTTGAACCAAGAGATCACTCCCTGGTTAAAACCTGTGGGAAATTATTTGGGGTGCCTTTGGGGAGTGCCTTGAGAGATGTTTGAATTCCCCCAGGGAAAGGGCCTGGCCTTTTTTTCTCTCTTTCTCTAAACTTCACTTCCTAAGCCTCGTCATGATCAAAGTTTTAGTGGCGATAATCCTTGTTATTGCTAACGAGGCAGATGTAGGTTTTGAGGGCTGCAATCTCAGCTATCAGAAGATTGAGGCCCCATCCTTTATTGTACTGTTGTGTATGTTTATCTTTTCTATTTGTGTCCCTGCTTGCTAAAGAGGCATGGACGTGGCCTCTTAGGACAGCCTAGAACAGGGGGCCTCCAACTATGGCAACTTTAAGCCTGGTGGACTTCAACTCCCAAAATTCTAGGAGTTGAAGTCCTCCAGGCTTAAAGTTGCCATGGTTGGAGACCCCTGGCTAGAATGTTTGCTGCCAGGTTTCAAGCTTGTGTGGAATCTGTCCTTACGCTGGTTTGCCATTCACAACTTTAAAGTCAATACATAATTCTGAAGCAGAGTGGCGCACGCCAATGTCCTTTACTTTTGTGTCTTTTAATATTTTGCATTGGTTCTTTTTATTATTGGGATGTGTGTAGGTGTGCATTTAATATTGAGCTTGGGCAAAGGGTAAAAAAGCACATATGACTTTTGTCTGACTACATTGGCTTTGCAAAAGATTTCTTTTCCCGGGGAAGTGAAATAGGTATGGATGAGTTCTGCATTAATTATTCCCCCCATCCCATTTTTTGGTACATTTAGCTGTTTTGTTTTTTTAATAAATTTTGTTGATTTCTCTTTTTTTTTCTCTCAGGATGTCTGGTTGAGGGAAATATTCTGAAATCTACTGCCTGGCAGTTTTAACCAGCAGTGTGTTAAAAAAATAAAAATTATATTGTCACTTAAACTAAGCCGCGGTTTCATTTTTTAAGTGGAAAGATGACATATCAGCTTGAAACTCTGTAACTCCTGACTAACTTAAAATCCTGGCACCACAACAAAGAATCCTTCCCAAGCTGGCATTTATATTGTTGTCTCTATTAGTATTAAGCTTGCTTGTTCTTCAGCCTTCCAGCCTTCCGAGGTGGGTAAAATGAGGTCGCAGATTGTTGGGGGCAAAAGGCTGACTCTGTAAACTGCTTAGAGAGCGCAGTAAAGCACCGCAAAGCAGCATATAAGGCTAAGTGTTATTGCTCGCTCTTTTCTCCCTTCCATGGTTAGAATGGAGTATTGCTGGCAAACTCTGCTCACTGCCAGCAGTTCAATTCTGATCTCAAGTTGACTCAGCCTCCCCTCCTTCCAAGGTCAGTAAAATGACCCAAATTGTTGGGGGCAAGAAGCTGACTCTAAACCACTTACAGAGGGCTGTAAAGCGGTATATAAGTCTAGGTGCTGGTTTTAAGTGCAAAAAACAGACTTAATGGTTTTAAAAAAATTCCCTCCCTCTTCTAGTAAGGCGTGTTTTAAGTCCAGAAGGTCTGCTTCCTGCCAGATTCGATTACCAGATACACTTTAGGACAGTCTCAACCTCGTCAATTTTTCAAGTCGTGTGGACTTCAACTCCCAGAATTCTCTGGGTGGGGAATTCTGGGAGTTGGAGGTTCTTTTTCCAAAAGGGAACTGGACTCTTTTTTTTTCCCCTTGAGGCGGTTCAGGTTTGCTTCAGTCGAGCTAGGCTGCCCTAAAGAAGCCGTCTCCCGAGGCGACGGGTGAAGAAAGGGCTTCCGTAGGGCCGCTGGAGGCCGCCGAAGGGGGGAGAAATCAAGCGGGATCGGGGAGGGGGCGCGAGAGGGGGGCGTGGCCGTATACGTGCGTGCGCGTTTCCGGGGGCGGAGCCGTCCCCTTGTTAGGCCGCGAGCCCCGCCCCCTGCTGCCATGGCTACCGGCGGGGCCGAGGGAGAGGCGGCCGCCATTTTGGCAGCGGCGGCAGGGCCGGCCCGGCGATGAGCGGCTCGAAGCCCAGGGTGGCCGCGGCCGGGCCCGGCGGGGCGCTGAGTCGCCTGCGCGGGCAAAGGAGCTCCGGGGCTGCCAATGCCGCCGCACCTCCGCGGGCCGCCCTGCCGCCTCCAAGGACAGAGGCGGAGCTGCTGGCGCTGGAGGCGGTCCGGCCCGAGCACGTCCTGGGACTCGGCCGCGTCACGGAGCGTGAGTAGCCGCTTTCCTCCGCCCGGAGCATCCTTCCCCTCGCCGGCCTTCCTCGCTTTCTGCAGCGCTGCGGCCTCCTCGGCCGGGAAGAGGACGGGGGGCTCGAAGGGCCGGAACCTCTTGGAAAGCCCCCTCCGCTCGCCTCGCTCCTGGCCGGGTGTGGCAGTCGCTGTTTTCCGAGGGGGGAAGACCCTCGGCAGGCAGGGCCTCCCTCCGCCCCTCCCTCCCCTTTGGGGTCCCCGCCAGGCGCTGAAGGGACGGGGGGGGGCTTTGGGCATTTGTCTCCGCAGAGAAAGGGAGGGGAGCGGTCGCCCACAAGGCCCGATGGCGGCGGGAAACAAAGGTGGGGGATATGCCGGCTTTCCTGATCTCCGAACTGAACCAGCTGCCCCCCCCCCTTTCCTCCCCTTCGCCTCCCAGCTCCCCCCCTCATGAAGACCCCCCTCCCTCCTATGAGGATGCAGAAGCGCCCTGGCTGCCCTCTTGACCCCCAGAAGCTCAGCCCTTTTTGGAAAGACAGATTTCTCCCTCCCCAGACTCACCCTCAAGCAAGGGGTCTCCAACCCCCCTTGTGGACTTTGACTCCCAGAATCCCTTTGGGAAGCCATGCTGGGGAAGTCTTAAAGTTCCCAAGGTCGGAGCCCCCTCCTCTAGCTGCAGCCCAGACTGAGGGTCCCTCCCAGGTGTACTTCAAACAAACAGTGGCGTCATTTAAGGTGGATTTGGGCAGCATTCTCTGCTTGCTTGTCCTGCATGACCCGGGCAACGCCAGCAGCAGCACCTGTCAAGGAGCCCATCGCACAAAGGTTAGTATCAGAAGAATGCTGCCCACCTTGGCCGTCCCCTTCAGCTGGATCTTTTTCAACTTTGGTTCTGTTCCAACACCCCTTGTCCTCTTCATGATGTAGGCAGTCTGCTGTTGTGTTAGCCCAAACTTGTCAATTCCAGAGAGTTGGTCATGGGAGTGTCAAGGTTCCAATTGATGAGTCCAACCACATCAGTACTTCGTGACGGACAGCTTTCTCAAAGAACTGTTCTACTGAGTACACCCTTTTGGCATGCATGAAAGCAAAACCAACTCTTATTTCCCGCGGGTTTAGTATAATTAAAGAATAGATATTTGCCTCCTGCCATGTCACAGGTCACATTGTCCAATTAGGTGTTCTGGCATCTCCCTGGTAACTCCTTCCACTCTCTCCCTGACACCTGCTGAGATGACCTTGGTTCCCACAGGACAATGTTGCTGTCTGGTCCGACATTCCAAGCTTCCCCCTCTCCCCATACAGTGTGGCAAGATGAGAAATGAAAAGATGGCTGCGGCAGCCCAGATCCGTTTCGAAGTTGGCAGAGAGTAACTTCAGTGGCATCCCTTGGAGCTTTGTGTAGTGTCTCCCCAGCCTGCCTTTGTTACACCAAAGGCAATGTATTTTGTTTCATTTTGCTGCTTGTTCCAATTCCTGGCTCCATTCTGGCAACTCATAATGAGCCAAAAATGGTAGAGCTGGAAGGGCCAAAACTTCTTTCAGTCAATGCACTGCTGAATTTGTTCTCATCAGATTCAAGGTAGATCAGTTTGCCACTAATCAGGGGGCCGCATGCAGTTGTGTTAGCCAACACAGTGGCATCAAAGTTTGCCTTGCCAATAGTCGTCATCTTCAAATATTTGGAACTTGTGCACATCCAAAACAAAGATTTTCAAATTCCACGAGAAGAGAGGTTTATGCTTTGGCACAGGTGTTACCCTGCATGGCACCGAATGCCACTGACATCTCCATCTTGCTCTTTCAGTCTGCTTCTTCAGAAAGACTCTTGTGCTCAAGGGGTGCTACAACATGAACCAAGATGGCTGAATGAGCATAATCCCACCATTCATCACATTAGTGCACCGGAAGTGGCATCTACATCAACCTTTTGACTTAGCAGGAGGGACTGCTTGCTTCGGTACACCACCTTTGTGTAGTTTTGCAGAAACTGAAAAGGTGTCTCAACAAGATCATGGAAGACAGTGTGCCAAGACATGGCCTGGAGATGACCAACCTCTCTTCAGGCTTTGAAACAGAAGTGTGCAGCCTCGGCTGTAGAACTTGTATCTTTTTTCTGGCACATATTGAAACTGTCAACTTTTAAGAAGTCATTGCCATATCTTTGTGTTCCTTTCATCATTGTGACCTGTCTGGGATTCTTACTATTTTTGATCTCAGTGTTATTCACATGATTGAACATGAAAGTGTTGATAGTGAGCACCGCCAACCTTTGATGCTGCACATGCTTCATTGCTGGTTGATGTAAGCCTGCCCTCAGCAAGTAGGTAGACAACTGCACGAAAACTCCCTGCTTTTGTATGTCAGTCTGGATTGCCAACATTTGAGGGGAAGGAGGCCAAGGTAGGACAAGAAGGAATAGATGGAAACTAATCGAGAGAAAATTCCTAACAGCAAGAACATGTAATTGGTGGAATGACTTGCCTCCAGAAGTAGCATCTTCCAATATTTGAGGTGCTGCCACAAAGAACAGGAGGTCAACTTGGTCTCCGAGGTGCAGTGTGGGAGGAGTCACTGAATGGGTATTGTTACGGCCCAGTTTCCAAGGTGGGGTGTGGGAGGAGTCACTGAATGGTATTGTTATGGCCCAATTGCCTGGAGACTGAGGTAAATCTGAGGACACTCCCTCTGTTCCTCCTGGAGACTCCCCAGATTAACCTCAGTCTTCGGCCTAACAGGAGCTATTCAGTGACTTTCCGAATTTAATTTTTATTTCCTTTTTTGTCTTTTACCTTTTTTGTGATTTGACTTACTAGCTTCAGGCCTTTGGCCTTTAGCTTCAATTTTCTTCATTTTTCTTCTTTTTGCCTTCGTCGGACCTCCTGCCTCCTCCTGCTGTGCCCCGTTCCTGCCAAAGCACGAGCTACGCTCGCTGCTACCTTGCGGGCCCTGAACCACCGGCTCCCGGGGGAGGGGGGGTCTCCAGACCTCGCGCGCCACAGCTGTTTTAAACGGCAAGGAGAAAAGGCTCCAGGAGGACTGCGGAGCATCGAAAGAGGGAAGGAGCGGTCCCGCCGGATCCGCCTCAGGCGATCGGACTGCGTGATTGGCGGTCGCTATTTTGAGCACGTGGGGGCATGCGCGAGGCATGGAGGCGTACTGATACCAATTGCTGCATCGCCTCAGCACCGAGCAGCAGCAGAAGAAGATTCTTTTGGGCCTCAACTCCACCGGCTATTCGGGGAGATTCCAGCCCAGATTGGTGCCCAGGACTCTTTCAGCCTGTGGATCGGCGGGTGAGGAAGAACACCGCAGATGCGAAGGAGCTCCGGATCCACGAGGATAGAGACCACAGCTGAGAGAGAGGAGGTAGAGAGAATGAGAAAACACCTAATCGTGAGTACTGCGATGGCGGAGGCCACCTGGAGCAAGGGGGCGGCTGCCCCAAGCTCTCCAGAGGGTTCAGACCCAGGCAAGGGAACCTCTCGAGAGGTAGGCCCTGGGTCTAGTGGGAGATCGCTTCTCAGGAAGTGTTCCTCCAAGTCATTCAGGAGGGACAGGCCTAGGCAGGAGGCCCCTTGAACCAGAGCGGCTGGGAGGAGGACATGCAGTTCAGGTAGGACCAACTGACATTCTCCAAAGCTCCTGAAGGCAGGACAAGAATCAATGAAATCAAGGAGTGTAGAACCCAGAAATTTCCTGACAGCAAGAACAATAAATCAGTGGAATGACTTGCCTTCAGAAGTTGCAGGTGCTCTATCACTTGGAAGTTTTTTAGAAGACACCGGACAGCCACTTGTCTGAAATCCTATAGGGTCTCCTGCTTTGGCAGGGATTGGACTAGAAGACCTCCGAGGTCCCTTCCAATTTTTTTATTCTGTTACTCTCTCTTGCCAGTGTTGAGGGCACTGAGGTTCCGACTAGCACCACCTCAACAATGTCTAGCCATAATATCATCTTGCAATGTGATGTCACCAAAAAGGACCCTTGTTGAATTGCTAGGGGGACCACTACAGGATTGTGCCCAGAACGGAAATGTTATTAAATGGACAATTTGGCTGAGTAGCAACTTCTGGCCTTCCCTGCTGGAGCAGCATTTCAAAGTCAGCTCCATATTGTGATTCTTTGTTTCGGGTGTCACTGATCCTGCAGCTACAGAGCTGAGCTTAGCCACTCCAGCTGCTTTAAGTGCACAAGAGATTTCGCTGGCAGAAGCTTTTCGGTTGGCTTTGGAAGCACCTTTGTGACGACTGCCACCTCACAGTTTCCCTGTTATCATCGTGGCCCTTTTGAATAGCCTCCAAGCTGAGATTTGAGAGACCTTAAAGCCTTTTAGTTTTCCGGAGGGCCATGAAGGCCTGGCTCTTGTCCCAGCATTGGGATAGGATTGGGGTTGAGCTGGGAGGGGGAGAGGGGACATGTTTTTATATTTGGTTTTATGGATTCCCTAAAATCATGGCATGAGATGGGTGGCCATAAATAAATATTTAAAAAAAGAAAGAACAGGCTGCTGCCCAGGCTTTCTGCCTCGTCGTATCCTGCAGCCAGAGCCTGTGTGTTGAAGGAGCTAGTCCTGGACTTACAACCACAGTGGAACCAGAACATCAATTGTTAAGTGAATGGTCCCTGATTTTATTATCTTTCTTTGCCATAGTCATTAAGTGAATCACATGGTTATGACTGAAGACATTTCAGTCATAAATGCAAGGACGAGTCACAACTCACTTTTTTCAGATGTATTGCAACTTTGAATGGTCATTAAACTAAGGATCATAATTCTGAATAGTAGATTTACATGGTAAGTAGGACTGGTTATCTTTACAAAGTCAGAAGATATGTTCGCCCTGACTTTTATGTAATGAATTTGGCTTAAACCTCCTCTGTTTACCATTTCCCTCTTTCCTTCCACTAGAAGATTACTAAAAAAAAAAAGTCAGACAAAGTAGCTTATGATCTACAATGTTTTGTACTTAAAAGTAGGTCTTTTTTGTCCTGACATGAGAGAGGTTGCATTTACTTAGATTTAAATAGGCTGCTTGTGTTAATTCCCTCTTGACCAGTTATAACTGTTCTTGCACATTTGCATGTCTTGGCTAAATAATTTGGTGCCACTGGTGAGCTTGATAATCATATTGCTCAGTTCTAAATCCAAAGTTTATTTGGGTGTAGAATCCCTGCCGCGGTGCTTGCGTTTGTCTGTGTCTTACATCCTTCCACTGATTCTTCTCCTTTAACCAGGTGCCTCTCTTGGCCACAGAATTGGTCCGGAGTTTTGCAGAGACTTCCTAGTAATGTCTGCTGCAGTTGGAAACTCGCTTCCTTCCCCTGAATGCAAAGGCCCTTTTGGTGGGCTGGGCCAGGCAGCCTCTCCATTGCCACCTTAACCTTCAAGGTTGCATTTCAGCCTCACTTCTGTTTTCCTCTCTTCCAGATTACCTTTGCCGACCCGAAGACAACATCTACAATATTGACTTCACCAAGTTTAAAATCCGGGACCTGGAGACTGGGACGGTGCTCTTTGAAATTGCCAAACCTTCAATTTTAGGTAAGTTACTTGTGGTGTAAAGTAACGGGGTCCCGTTCTGAATCGCAACACCCAAATAATGGTTAACAATTCCAGGAAGGACATTTTGCTTCTAATGGTAGTTAAGAAGGTGGTCTCATAATCCCTAAATCTGTGCTTCCCCTTACTTCCTCTTATTCTGTCATCACTCTTGGGATGATCTGTTTCCTTGAGACATTTCCGTCTAAATCTGGGTTCCATCCGTTATTCCAGGTGCCACAAAGGCATCTGTCCCAACACTTCACCCACCTAAGCCAAGCCACATTTAGCTTTGTAAGCTTGGTGCAGCAAGGCTGCCTTGGTTGCTCGTTCCACATTTCCTGCTCCTGACCTTGATTCTAGCCATATTGCAGAGAAGGCCGAGTCGGCTGCAGGGGCTTCCTGGAGTGGTCCCACTTCCCGAATGTCAGGCCAATGGGAATCACCACATATCCGACCTGCTGAGTTTTCTTTAACCATTAATTCCTGTAGAGCAAGAGGACTACGAGTGTGACCTTGGGGAGGTGGACAGCAGCGCCGGACGCTTTGTTCGCTATCAGTTCACTCCGGCCTTCCTGCGCCTACGGACCGTTGGGGCCACGTGAGTCTGGGCAGAAGCTCGGGATGGGCGAGACCAGGGGGCTCCTGGGGTTGCTCACCACCAGCCACTTGGTTTTCATCCAACTACAATCAGTCTGGGTGAAAAGCAAGTTCAGGACTTCTAAATGAGCACTTAAAAAACAAAGAAATCTGAAATCCAAGTCTGGAATTTTGTAGTTTGTACAAATTCAAAGAAAACTATATGTTCCTTGAGGCATGTCTGCTGTCTTTACTCTTTTTTCTTATTATTATTATTCCTGCTAATTTGAATTCCTAGTTGCACTGTACCTGAATCCCTGGGCATCCCCTTCCTAGGCCAGCCTTTCTTTACAACCAGGGGATAAAGATTGGTGGTGAGGCCTGCGGGATCCTGTCAAGGGACAGCTGGGCCCTTTAAGTGTGCTCAGCGGCTTCAGGGCCATCTGGAGGGCCGGACTCCAGAATTGCCATTCCTGTCCTGGACGCATGAGAGATTCTCCAGTGGTGGGTTCAATTCGCCCCCTTCTCTCCCTGCAGGGTGGAGTTCACTGTGGGAGACAAGCCTGTATCCAACTTCCGTATGATCGAGAGGCATTACTTCAGAGACCGACTTCTGAAGAACTTTGACTTTGATTTTGGCTTCTGCATCCCCTGCAGCAGGAACACCTGTGAGCACATCTACGAGTTTCCTCAGCTTTCAGAGGACCTCAGTAAGTACCTCTTGGGCCTGGTTGGGTGAACAGTCCGTGGGTGGGAGTGGGAGGTTTTGGACCAGATGAGTCCCACAGCCTAAGCAGGGATGGTCAGCTGTCTTCGGCCTTCCATATCAGGCTCCCTGTGAGCACCGGATTCCTCAAGAACAGTCAGAAAATCCAGCCCTTTGTATGATTCCTCCATCGGGGTCTCTGCTTTGGTGGGAAACTTCCACTGTCAATTTTTTAAATCAATTTTTTATTTTATATTATTTATACATATCAGTGTGTGAATGGTGTGATACCTGGGTATGATACATTTAAATACACATAAACATAGTCTTATTACTGCTACATATTACATTCCATTTCCCTTATTTCATGTTATTTATACATGCCTTTTACTGTTGCCCTTCATATCTAGACCTTTCTATTCTTTTATATATCATAGCATATTAATGTGTGTGTGTGTGTGTGTGTATGTATGTATGTATATGTGTGTATGCGTGTGTGTGTATAGATTTTTACAACCCCCGGTATGCCCAAATATGGGAGGAAGATCACTACTTCCATTCTCTTCCATTCTCTGTCCTTCGGCTCGTCACAAGAGACCATCCAGGCAGAAACCCAATATTTTTACTGTTGCCTTTTTGTTTTGTTTGTTTGTTTTGTTCCTTGGTAAAAGTTTACGTCAGCAGAGATGGTGAAGTGCTGGA